TTCTGTGTGGCCATGGACATACTTACTTAACTTTATGGAGCCCCAGTTTCCTCATTTGTAAAAATGAAAATAACAAAAGTATAAGTCATGTAACTGGAAACTGGTAAATGGCTAATAGCAATAGTCAGTAGTAATAATTATAATTTATATCATAATGATTTTTGTCTATGTTTACTACTAATTACTTTTTTTTTGGGGGGGGGTCCGGTCATGGGGCCTGAACTCTGGGCCTGGGCGTTGTCCTTCAGCTCTTCAGCTCAAGGCTAGCGCTCTACCACTTGAGCCACAGCGCCACTTCCGGCTCTTTGCTTTTTGCTTATGTGGTGCTGAGGAATCGAACCCAGGGCCTCATGCATGCAAGGCAAGCACTCTACCACTAAGCCACCTTCCCAGCCCCTACTAATTACTTTTCAAATAACTATTTTCACCTCAAATTCATATGGGCTTTTATAATTGCAACAGTTCTATATTTTTTCCTTCTCAATGCATTCCTCATTCTCTACAGCCACCCTTTGCTGTAACTTCCTATGGCCTTCTTCACCATTCATTCTGCCTATTTCTTATTTATTGAGAAAGTAGAAGTAAGAAGAGATACAATTTGTCTATATATCTACCTATCTACCAATATGAAACAGGGTCTTGATGGTTGCCCAGGTTGGCTTTGAACTCTTGGGCTCAAGTGATCTTCCTGTCTCTGCAGCTGGGACTACAGGTATGCCACTGTTCTAACATCTTCCCCTCCAACCCATCTATCAGGCTCCCTTCAGCTAAATACCTATGTTCTGCCTTAACTCCTATAATAAGAAACACCAGTTCTCAGGTGTATATAGAATCCTATAACCTTTTGTGTACTCACAGACATAGCACTAGTACTATCCCCTTCACTTTTCAGTTATCACATTTTATCTTTTATAGTAGATAATTCTCATCATGCAGAAATGCCATCATGAGTGCCATATCAGAAAAACTCCGTTCAGCCAAGTGTTGTGGTACACACCTCTAATTCCAGCTACACTATACTATAGAGGCAGGCAGGAGAATCCCAAGACACCAGAAATTTAAGACCTGTCTGGGAAACCTAGACATATCCTGTCTCTTTGAACCAATAGCAACAACAAAAATTAACCAGGTATCTTGGTGCATGCCTGTAATCCCAGTAACTCAAGGGGCAAAGGCAGGAGGATCATGTGGTCTGAGGTCTTCAAGGAGCAAGAAGAGCATAAAACCTAATCTAAAAAACAAAAATAAATAAAATAAAATTGGACTGGGAGGTTGGCTCAGTGGTAGAGGGCTTGCCTTGCATGCATGACATGGCCATGAGTTCAATTCCTCAGCACCACATAAGCAGAAAAAAGCTGGAAGTGGCTCAAGTGGTAGGGCGCTAGCCTTGAGCTGAAGAGCTGAAGGACAGTGCCAAGGCCCAGAGTTCAAGCCCCAGGACCAACAACAACAACAAAAAGCAGCCAGGTGCTGATGGCTCACACCTATAATCCTATTTACTCAAGAGGCTGAGATCTGAGGATCATGGTTCAGAGCCACCCGGGGCAGGGAAGTCAGTGAGACTCTTATCTCCAGTTAACCATCAGAAGACCAGAAGTGGCACTGTGGCTCAAAGTGGTAGAGAGCTAACCTTGAGTAAAAAGGCTCAAGGCACAGTGCCCTGAGTTCAAGCCACATAACCAACCCCTCCCCCCCACAAAAAAGATTAAAGCAAAAACAGTTGGGTCCATGTCTCAAAGGCCCTGCCTGGGTTCAAACTCTAGTACTGCCAAAAAAAAAAAAACAGAAAATGTCATCCAATTGTTATTCATATTGCCATCCAAGTGTTGTTTCCATTTTTTCTGTTCTTCTTTGAAGCACCTCGAAGTATATCCCTGTCTCAGCTACACCAGTCATGTTTTTTTTTGGGGGGGGGTCCAGTCGTGGGGCCTGAACTCTGGGCCTGGGCGCTGTCCCTCAGCTCTTCAGCTCAAGGCAAAGCGCTCTACCACTTGAGCCACAGCGCCACTTCCGGCTTTTTTCTTTTTGCTTATGTGGTGCTGAGGAATCGAACCCAGGGCCTCAGGCATGCAAGGCAAGCACTCTACCACTGAGCCACCTTCCCTGCCCCTCCAGTCATGCTTTATGTTCCTTCTGCTTGGCTGAGACTGCTCTTGTGAAAGTTCTAATGACTGCTATATTACCAATCCAAGAGTGATTCTTGGTCCCGGACCATTGTACTTTACCTCAACATTTGGACAAATTACTTCGGCCTTCCTGAAATACTCTCTCTTCTGGCTTAAGAGTACCATCCTTTCCTATTTTCCCTTCTATTAAAAATATAGACTTAGAGGTCAGGGAATTGATTAGGAAAGAGACATTTTAAAAAGAATAAGTAGCCAGATGCCAGTAGCTGGCTACACAGGAGGCTCAGATCTGAGGATTAAAATTTGAAGCCAGCCCTGATAGGAAAGTGTGTGAGCCTTTCATCACCAATTAATCACCAAAAACCTGAAAGTGGAACTGTACTTTAAATGATAGAGCACTAGCCTTAAGCAAAAAAGCTCAAGGCTAGTGCCCAGGCCCTGAGTTCAAGTCTCAGGAGAAATAACCCCCCCCTCAAAAAAAAGGCCAGGTGTCAGTGGCTCATGTCTGTAATGCTAGCTATTTGGGAGGCTGGGCTCTTTAGATAAAAGTTTTGAAGCCAGTTCAGGCAGGACTTGCTCGGAGAGGAAAGTCCATGAAATTCTTCTTCTTCTTTTTTTTTTGGTCTGGTCGTGGGTCCTGAACTCTGGGCCTGGGCGCTGTCCCTCAGCTCTTCAGCTCAAGGCTAGCGCTCTACCACTTGAGCCACAGCGCCACTTCCGGCTTTTTTCTTTCTGCTTATGTGGTGCTGAGGAATCAAACCCAGGGCCTCAGGCATGCAAGACAAGCGCTCTACCACTGAGCCACCTTCCCAGCCCAAGTCCATGAAATTCTTATCTCCAATTAACCACCAAAAAGCCAGAAATGGAATTGTATCTCAAGTGAAAGAAAAAGCTCAAGGACAGTGCTTAAGCCTTCAGTTCAACTTCCAATACCTGTAAAAGAAAATTCTTTACTTACAAAGTAGAGTGACAACTGGGTCTAGTCATATTTTAAATTTTAATTTTAATATTTTTGGGCTTTTTATGGACTAGATTTGAATTCTAGGCTTCATACTTGCTAAGCAAGCATTCTACCACAACTTAACCTTAATTTTAATTTTTTTTCTATAACCATGAGGCCTGTACTCAAGGTGAGATGTTTAGAAAATGATAATAATTAGGTATTAACTCCCACATCTTTTTTATACTTCAAAAATACTGATGTCTAGGTTGTACTCCATACCAATTAAATAAAAATGTCTGGAGGAGGGAGCCTGCCCCAGGCATTAATATTTTATTAAGATTGCCACGTGACTTCAGGGTGTAGGAAGGTGTAGAAGCCACTGGCTTTACTTATTAGCCCTATAATAGCTTAGAGGTTCTACCTCCTAGTTAGCCACTTACTCCTTAGCATTAATTAGGTAACTGATAATACATGTTAGCTATTTTAAAAATGCTATATAAGAGAGAAGATTTTCTCATTGATCTTAAACTGTAGCTCAGCTATTTTGTATTGCAGAACTCACATTTTTACGTTTTCCCATTTTTTTATAATGCTGGAATTTGAACACAGGGCATTATGCTTGCTAGGCAGGCACTCTACTTGAGATGTACCCCAACCCTTTCTTGGCACTCTTGGTGAACTACTCTGTCTTCCAATCTCCAAGGGTATGCCGTCCTTCTTACAGTTTGTCTAGGTGTTTTCACAAGGTTCAGTTGTATTAGTTAATAAATGGGATTTTTTTTTTTTTTTGGTCCAGTGGTGGGGCCTGGGTGCTGTCCCTCAGCTCTTCAGCTCAAGGCTAGCACTTTACCACTTGAGCTACAGCGCCACTTCTGGCTTTTTTCTTTTTGCTTATGTAGTGCTGAGGAATCGAACCCAGGGCCTCATGCATGCAAGGCAAGCACTCTACCGCTGAGCCACCTTCCCAGCCCGGGATTTTTTTGGGGGGGTCATTTGTGGGGCTTGAACTCTGGGCCTGGGCACTATCCCTCAGCTCTTCAGCTCTAGACAAGTGCTCTACCACTTGAGCCACAGCAGCACTTCGGTTTTCTGAGTGGTTTATTGGAGGTAAGAGTCTCACAGAGTTTTCTGACTGGGCTGGCTTTGAACCTTGATCCTCAGATCTCAGCCTCCTGAGTAGCTAGGATTACAGGCATGAGCCACTGACGCCTGGCTAGTAAGTGGGATTTTTATGAAGGTAATCAACCTTGGAAAAGTAACTTCTTATTTTAACATTGTAGGTATTACTATTTCATATTTCTTCATCTCAGTTGATCTTATAGTATAGAAGAAATTAATTTTATGTGTGTGTTTCACTTTGATTCCTTTCATACTCCCCCCCCCCCTTTTTTTTTGTTCTAATACTGGGGCTTGAACGAAGGGCCTGGGTGCTGTCCCTGAGCTTTTGTGCTCAAGGCTAATACTCTACCACTTGAGTTACAGCTCCACTTCTGGCTTTTTTGAAGATAAGATGTCTTACTTTAATTGGAAAGTCTCACAGACTTTCCTGCCTGGAGTGACTTTGAACCTTAGTTCTTAGATCTCAGCCTCCGGAATAGCTAGGAAAACAGGCATGGGCCCCTGATGTCTGGCTTTACTTTCCCTTTTTAATTTATAATAAAAAGCAATTAAAGTGAAGAAAAGACTTGGCCATACCACTGAAAAGCAAACTTTAAATTTTCTTGATCTTTTCTTGTGTTTATATCTGGGCTACATCATTGTGCTTGAGAGTTCTAGAAGTATCTGAAAATTGAGATTCAGGTAAGCCAATGTAATTTTACAGCCAGTTTTATAAGAGAGACATCGACAATTTGTTGTTCTTGTTTGAAACTTGTCTATTGAGCTCCGTAGTCTGAGAAGCTAAAAGTGAGTAAACAACTCTTTCTTTCTAGATCTTCATCTGCTGGTGGACGTGGCCTGCAAACAGGAGCACTTTCCAAAGGAGGAAGAATTAAAAGAGTGAGGAATGGATGACAAAAGTGACATTGTGCATTAGCTATAGCTGGAGGCAGACTAGCCTTGCACATGACACACTGTTGGGATTTTTCCAGTTCTGTTAAGGAAAAAAAGAAATATTTTTTGTTTTGTTGGAATTTCGTTCATTGAAAATTGGAAGTTTGGTATTTTCTACAGCTGTTCGGTTCAGATTATTTACCTTGACAAACTACTAAACATCTAGCAGCCATGGTTTTTTTTTTTTTTTTGGTTTTATTTTTTGTTTTGCTTTGCTGCCCAGATCCCTTTCAAATGAAAAGTCCTAGCCTTCTGTTACAGTCAAGAAGCATCTAAAAACTGCTGCATTGATGGTACTGGAGCAAAATGTGTGTGTGCTGAGTCGTTGTGCCACTCTCAAACTGTAGTCAGCACAACTTCTGTCTATCTGTTTCAAGTCACAGTGCGATCCTTTCAAGATGATGTGAAAAACAAAGACATATGAGGTCTCGGAGATCACAGGTCTAAATGGGTCAGGAATTCCAGGGAAGAAACTCTGGGAAAGAGCTAATTTTCTCCATGATTAACAGGGAAATTATCTTACTTCCTAACCCAGCATTCTGTTTCAAGAGCAAGGCATCCGGACTTGGACCATCCATCATACTGAACAGCCCCTGAATCTTTTATATCAACAGGAGTGTTCTCTATTTGCATATCTTCTTTAATTTAATGACACATTATCATAAATAGCAAAAAAGTTTTGTTAATATCTCTTAAATGTCTTCTAAAGAAAAAATTTAATTTGTTTAATATAATTGTGTTTATAAATGCTGGTAGATTTAAAGGTTTTAAAGCTTTATATTTTTATTAATATTGCAGGCTAGAAGGATAAAGGATGCATATGTAATATTTTTTATTTTGAAGGGAATAGGTACAATGTGTGAACAGAAACATTAAGGGATTTAATGTAGGATTTTCTTATTTTAGACTTACATTCAACAAACACAAAATCTCATCTGTATTGAGGAAAACTGTCCTTTAGCAGCAGCTATGCTCTGATACTTTTAATAGTTTATATTTGCCTTAAGCTTCTGGGAGAACTTTAGTAGTGGGATAGAAGAGAACATGTTTTTCTTACCTCCATTATAAGGTTCTAAATTTGAATAATAGGAATGTGGGATTCAAATGAGAAAAGGACGTTTTGGATGTCCATTTGCTGTAAGTGATCATTTGTACATCCAATGACAGCAAGGACATTTCTGATTTAAAGTCTTTTAAACTAACTAGAATTTTTTAGCATTCTGCCTCGTTTTCCTAATAAGCATTATGAAAACAAAAGGAAAGTCTAAGAATATGAATCTAATGAAAAAACTGTATTAAGTATAGGCTAGCCATTGTGGATGTAACAGATCGAACATTCCTTATATTACATTGTGCCTTCTCAGTGATTTAAAACCCTACAAGTGTTACAGAAATCCGGGGTTTTTGGAAAAAAGCTCTGTATTGGTCTGCAGTGTCTTAGTTTAGATATAAAGTAGGAACTGAAAAGTGACTTGTCTGGTCCATCTGAGTAGACTAGTAGATGCCTGCATGCTCGGCATTTATTCATCTTCATTAGCAAGGCTTAAAGGTGGACGAACTATCAAGGCATGTACATCTTTTGGCCAGGCTGCATATTTTGGCAGAGTGTGTGAAAAGAAGATTGAATTTCCTAATGAAGGAACTTTGCCTTTCTCTGTCATGTTGAATTGCTGGTGAACTGTGTAGATGATATTCCTTCCCTTCAATATGCCTTTCTTAGCTTTTATATGTTGAAAGTGACAATATCTTTTGAGGAACATGTATCAAGCAGGAACTTTGGCATAGATTTGGTTTCAGTGGTTTTAAGGCTTAATTAATGAGATGCCTTGATGAGCTTTCCAAACTTTTTTATATATGAATACACCAGACCAAGGAGCTGGATCTCCTGCTGTACTCACATGCCTGGTACCCATCAACAAAGCTATCTATCATCAATGACTTGGGCAAAATGGCGAGAGGTAAAATAAAATCTTCTTGTAAATTAGCCAGTCAGGTCTGACACATACTAACAAGGTTCCTAATTAGCACCTCAGTATTTCAGCACCTTAAGCACCAATAAATTTCAATCAATCAATAATAAAGTGAGTGTTCCAACTAGACTTGTCGTCTTGCTTGTTTTTACTATTTTACTAGTGATTAATAGAAAACACAGTCATTACGGACATTAATAATACTAGTAAAGTTCAAAGGAGAATATACTGTATTTTTTTCAAAAAAATTGCCATGATTTTTTTTTTTATTCCGTTTTGAGTTCAGGCCCTTGTGCTTA